ATTCAAAGCTATAACCGGTATTGTGTGTGTGTGTGTGTGTGTGTATATATATATACTTGTTATTGACTGAACAAACAAAGGTTGAGTTTTTAGAAAACCCTAGTTGCTAATATAATATGACATAAAATCATAGATATGTCCTAAACCATGAAAAAAAAATAAGTTGATGAGTTACGTTACCTCAAACTGTGTGTTTTTCTGCACGTCTCCTGGCGTGTGAACTTCCATCGACTTTCGGCTACTAGTAGAAATAGAGATCCTAAGACAAGATCATGAAACCATTTCGTTGTGTTTAATCTGATTTACATATGTAATTGGTCTAGAGTTATGCTATCAGATCTTTTCTACATTTTCCCTCTAATAAACGTTATAGAATAACAATTATTATCCGTATTAAAAACAACAACAACATTGTTTTGGTAGATTGTACAAAATAAGTGTTAAACCAAGGAAACTGCCACACTGTAAATAATCTACTTAGGCTTAGAGCCCACAGATTTCAGATCAAGTAACAAAGTGGTTATGTTTTAAAAGATAATTAATATGATTAATTTTTGTTATATTTCATTAAGCATAAATTAGAAGCTATTTTCAAGATATAAATAACCCAAAAAGCATATAAATTGTTCTCTGAATAGGGTAAAATTTTGCTATAAAGAAAAAGATTGATGAGGAAAATGCGTTTTATTCAAATAACCCCAAACCATTAATTTGTCCTTTACGTATATATACAGAGTACGAGCATGTAGTTATTATAATGCTTTAGAGTAGTTGTCGATGCATATATATAAGGCGAACCAGAAAAAATATACCGAAACACCAAATTTAACATAATTTCGGTATACCTTTACATGTAAAGGTGTACTTTGTTCCACCAAAGTTTAAAATCACAAGAGGAAGGCCGTCCCGGTCCGAAACTTTGTGAACATTAAAACATCTATCTATATTTTAACATTTGTTTATTTTATAAGGTTTCCCCTTTTTGTTTTCACTTTAACTGTATCACAGCGGTCATTTTATGACTACGATCAACAAGACCTTATAGCGTTTGATTAATACAAACAGTATTTAACTATACGTTATTGAGCAATACGTCATTAGTATAAACAAGACTGAACAATAGAACATTATAAAACATCTTTAAAAAATGTAACACTGATATATTGACCAGTCTCTTTATAAGGCTCTTCACATAATATTGAATTGGAAACTTTTCTCAGCGATAATGACCTGAAAACATAGACTCCACAGAATGCCAGAATGTTTCTTGTTCGCCCATACATTGAAACCCATAATCTCTAACTCTTTCACAGAGGAAAACGGTGAAGGCTTTAAGGTTTCAGATTTTCTCAAAGATACTCAATTGAATTAAGATAAAGTAACTATGCTGGACAAGGAAGTTGGTCTTCAAGCTAATTTTGGAAAATACGATTGCTAACATCTAGGTGGAATGCAGCAATGTGAGTTGAACATGATCAGTAACACATCTCGTGTACACTGTATATGTTATTCAACTCTCTAAAGGAAACAAAGGGTTCAACTCCTGCCGCAAAACCGTTCCGTAACAACACAAGCAGGATCATGTTTTGCATGTAATTTTCTCTGTAATTTGACTCTACCGTCTCTACAGAATAGGATAAACCGCGATTCATTTGATCATATTACAAGCTTACACTCAACAATTTGGGCTCTGAGCACCACTGAAACCAAGCTTTTGCTGTTTACATCTGGAATAAATGATTTTCGACTCCTATATTTCTTTCATACGGTGCAGTTGGAGAAAGTCAGTTTTTAACCATTGTTCAATAAATTGGGACATAGCATGTTGCTTATTGCACCTTACAAATCAGTCCGATCTTTTTCCTCCCCCCATTCTGTCATCAGCATTTGAAAGCTACGGATACATTTCTTTTCGATTTGCAGTGTTGGTAAACTCTGATGATAGATACTTTGAACAAACAGTTCATGATGATAGATACTTTGAACAACCAGTTCATTGCTAACGAGGCTATTTACAGTCGTCCCTAATTTTGAACTACTACTGACCAGAAGGACGATGTGGTCGCAGAAAAGATTTGTTCTGTCCTTTGAATCGAATTACAGGATTAACTACCATTTTTAGAAGGTGCCTACTGTAGAAAGTTTATGGCATATTATTGGCTTCACGTATCAAACCTTGAACACTTCTAAAAACTAACCCCTAAACCATGCTTAGCCTTTTTGTTACTGCTATGCCTATTTCTAAGCTCTAGGGTTATATATCAGTCTTTACTTTATATATATAAATCCTTTAAATGATATGACTTTTAGATTGCACATTTCATCATATTTTATACACTGTTTCCTCATTTCTTTATTCTTAGAAACCTACTTAAATTTTAAATTATCTTTTACTCTGGGACCTGTTGCACACTGACTTGTTTATTCTGGAGGATTTTTTGTCCCCCAATTCACACTGATTCGCTATGAAAGATCTCTTTTGTACACTAATTCAAAATTATAACTTATGTTTGGAGATATTGTAATTTTTATGCAAAAATATTATCACATTTGGGCTTACTGTACTCTAATTCATAATGCCCTTTACATTTCAAAGTCTTGCACAATACATGTAGCTTCTCGGGCTGGTACGTCTGGTTGTTAGAGCACTCGACTTAAAATCTGTGGTTTTGTCAAAAATTAAAATATTACATAGAAAGTTTATATATACTCTAATTTTACGTTAATTCAAGTTGAATAATTTAAGAAATTACTGGCAACGGTAGATACCATTCTTGAATTAGAAATAAATATCCATAAATGAACATAGGTTAATAGTTACAACTAAAGGATAACCATTCTTATAATGATTTTTTGAAGTATTTGTTTATTCAGTAAACTGCCTAAAGAACACATAAAAAGTAGATTATATATAATTTCTGTATTTTTGTTAGTGAAATATGCCCTCTCGCAGCACAGTTCAAGGCTTATAGGTGAGATGAAATTTGAATTGCTATGGCAAAAGGCAAGTATTAAATCGGTTTGATTCAATTGAAAAAAATATTTCAAATAAAAATTTGTCTGCCTTAAAATGTACATATATAAGAATGTCACACAAAGAAAGCAATACCGAAAAAGGAACGTTTTTTACACCACTTTCAACAAAAGTGGGTACACAGGAAGTCATGCTTTCATTCTCTATATGTATGTTAGATGAAATGCCGGTTTCAGAATTTACCAAAAATGTGAGATTTATATCACGCCCTTAAAAACAACAAACAAATCAGTCACAGAAAGACACAATAATCTCAGATAAAACATTAAATCTAATTATTTCTGTTCAGAATCTATCATAGAATTCGCTAGTTTACCGTATCTAAGACTAACTAAAATGTAAATGTGTGACTTACGTTCTCTAACACCCAAGTGCCTGCGATCAACGACCAAAGTGAAGTCAGTGGTAAACGATTCTTGGGCAGATCGCCTTTCGTTGAATTGAATACGTTCACCTGTACCTGTATATGGGCATGATAAGAATGTTTAATCATGTAATTTCGCGCTTCGCTGCTTAACGAGCTTTCCATTTCCGAATGAAACAATATTACTTTCCCGTCTACACCGCATATCAATGAAATTTCACGAACTTAGACAACACCTCTGTTATTTCTAAAACGCCCGTCATATCTAGGTAACCTACTTTAGTCGGTCTCAAAATAAATAGTGAGTACATTAATAACATCGAAAACCAGAGCATCTATCCTCGAATCATTAGCTGTCAGAGCGGCTGTATTATATAAAATAAATAGTGAGTACATTAATAACATCGAAAACCAGAGCATCTATCCTCGAATCATTAGCTGTCAGAGCGGCTGTATTATATAAAATAAATAGTGAGTACATTAATAACATCGAAAACCAGAGCATCTATCCTCGAATCATTAGCTGTCAGAGCGGCTGTATTATATAAAATAAATAGTGAGTACATTAATAACATCGAAAACCAGAGCATCTATCCTCGAATCATTAGCTGTCAGAGCGGCTGTATTATATAAAATAAATAAATATTTTAGATCTCTTTCTAGATGCTTGGGTAAAAATATAATCAGGATTTACAGTTACAGATGATTTTTACTTATCAAAATGTTCTGTACAAAGGCGTTTAATATCATAGGGAGTTGTATATTTGGTTTGGTGAATTTTGCGCAAAGCTATTCAACGGCTATATGTACTAGCTGTCCCTAATTTTGAAGTCAGAGAAAATAAGGAAGCCAGTTAGTCATCATCAGCTACCGCTAACTCTTGGGCTAATTTTTTACCGACAAAAAGTGCGATTGACCGTCTCGTTATAACGCCCCATGGCTAAAAAGGTGAGCATTTTCGGTGAAGGGATTCGAACCCGTGACTAGGAGTAGAGCGCCCTTATCACCAGGCAGAGAATTTTAGGAGTCATAAAAACAACGGAGTTCAGGTTTTAATTATAATTATAAAAATTGGCTTTGAAAAATATGTTAATGTACAGAAGTATTTACAAAAACCAATAGAAATAAAACATTTTCTAAAGAAGGTCACCTTACTTATTTTTTACGATTGATTTCTCACTAGGGTTAAATAGTATTTCATTATTATAGAATGTTTTCACTCGTGTTATTTTATCTAAGAGCATATCAGAACATGTTTTAAAATGTAGATATATTAGTGAAAGTATTTAATAAGAATTTCTAATCAAAGTAAAAACTTCAAAGATCAAACCTAAAAGTAAGTTATAAGTTAATGGAGCCAGTTTAATGTAACAAACTGAGTATAAGAATGTAATGTCAAAAATCAATACACCAGCAAAACTGAAACCTATAATGATTAAAATGCATTAAATCATTATTTCAGCGCCCTTGCTGTTCACGACATTTTCTGCCATAATCTCAATAATATCTCACGGTCTACAGTGAAGCCCACGACAGTCACTTGAGATAAAGAAACAGCATTAGAAAAAAAAATAACAAAAAAATTATTACACTATATTTTGCAAGTTTAAACCCGCTAAGTGAAGCACTAACACATAAATTATGTAAGATTATTTAAAATATATTTTGCGCGACAACACAAAAAAAGAACACCGGCACAACTTGAAATTTCTTCCTGTTATGAGGTGCTTTTAAATACTTTGCAAGACTCACTTATCAGTCACTAAATCGTTCTTATATTTTATGACAATTTAAAAAAATATTTAACCAGTTCATTGCCGAAAAAAGCCACCTGTTAACTGTAGCCTGGTAAGATATCCTCCAAAGCCAAACTTCCCATACATAATGGTTTAAGGGGGGTTTTT